CTTTCTTTCTTTCTTTCTTTCTTTCTTTCTTTCTTTCTTTCTTTTCACAGAGTCTCATTATGTCACCCTCAGTAGTGCCATGGTATCACAGCTCACAGCAACCTCAAACTCTTGGGCTTAAGTGATTGTCTTGCCTCAGCCTCCCAAGTAGCTGGGACTACAGGCACCTGCCACAGTGCCCGGCTATTTTTTGTTGTGGTTGTCATTGTTGTTTAGCAGGCCCGGACTGGATTCAAACCTGCCACTGTTGGTGTATGTGGCTGGCGCCCTAACTACTGAGCTATGGGCACCAAGCCTTGACTTTTTCTTTTTAAAGAAAAAGTATCAGTGGGATCACATTGTAGTCAGTTTTGGAAGACATCATTTTCAAGAGCCCATTTTTCTTGGAACAGGGCATCACAAGAAAGTAATTTTTAGCTCTTCTTTTAAATTAATTTCCGTATTGATTTGTACCTCTCCCCTTTTCCCCTAATGTAATTTAACCCTAAGTCAGGAATTAGATTAAAGACTTCTGATCCTCTCTCCTCTCTTAACTAGGGTACCTCTCTAGAGTTACGAGTAACTACTGGTGAAGTTATTTGGCACCATAATCTAGCTCTTCCCTTGGTTCATTCTTTTACATAGCAACAGTCTTTCATTCATTCACTCAACAGACAGTTCCTGAGTACCTACTGTGAGAGCTACTGTTGAGACCACTGCTAAGTAACACTTTCAGGGCAAGACTTTAGGAAAAAATTAAAAGAGGTTTTTTTTCAATGCGACATTGTCAATAGATGAATGCTAAAAAAGCAGCCAGATCAAAGAGGAAGAAAGATGGAGAAACAGTAGTTGAAAGACAGTTGCATATATTACCTTTTTTCAAATTTTAGGTTTGGAAGAATATTTGGTGGCCCAGGGTGTAAGGCAAACTTTGGCAATGGCCTTATAAGTGAGAGATGTAATCGGGTTGTATGGCATCCCGTGCCCAAAGCAAATGCCGTAATAAGAACTTGTGTGACCACGGAAGAGGCTGCTGCAGGGTAGGCACTGGGTTTCTGCCGTGTTTTCCACCAACACTCAGCCAGTTACCAGCCAGAGAAGAGGGGCCAGGAGAGAGGAGGGCAGGGGGAGAACATGCCCAGTGGGGGCCTCCTCATTCCCCCTGGCTCAGCACCCACCCAGCACATGCCCTGCCCGCTCTGTGGCTCTGACCCTCCATCAGCCCCTACCACGGCACCACACACTTTGCCTCAGGTGTGAGGCCTTATCTAAGAAAAGCATCAGGCTGGAATAAAGTGCTTTTTCCGTTTCTTCCATGCCCATGTGTAAACCCCTTTATCTTCACTACCTCAGGGTTTCTGTGTGCTGCGTTTGAGGTAGTGAAGCCCTCTCAACAGCTAAATATTGGTGAAATCCGAATCTAGCTAAAGAATGTATTTGTTTTGATTAAACCTTTGACTCTAGGGCTGAAACAGGCTCTATGATTAAAATAACCTTTGTTGTCTGCAGCCACTTTCTTTTATGGAAAAATTTCCAAGTGGCAACACCTGCTCCTAAAAACATCTTGAATGAGCTAATGTGAACGCACCTTTACCTTACAAGATTCAAATTTTTAAAACCTAGTCTGACTTCTGCAGTTATTATAAAGGAAATAAAAGTGCAGTAGGTATTTATCTCAGACATAAAGTTTCTATTCTCTTTTAACAATAGGAGCAAGGGAAATTATTTGAGGAGAGAAATATATGAAAAAACATAACACAAAACACTTCGCTTGATCAGATAAGCTATCACAATGATTTTAACTACAGTCTTAATAGTTGTCACTCAAGTTATGTCCATACTTTGAATGATCTGTTTTGTATGTAGGGATATTTTAAAGCCTCACTTGTGGAAAACAAGCTGGTCACATGAGTTCTTATTACGGCATTTATTTGGGCACGGGATGCCATACAACCCGATCACATCTCTCATTTATAAGGTCACTGCCAACATTTGGTTTGTGTCTGATTTAAGATGAAAGCCCCAAAGGAAAAAGCACAGGGACGTGTCCCTGTGTTATGTTCGCCAACTGGATTCAAACCTTCGTCTGGAGCTGGGTTCTGTCCACACTGGCATCTCATTCGTCTGCCCAACTCTGTCTCCCTTCTCCCAGGCCATCAATACCTCCATCAAAAGTAAAATTCCTTGTGTAGTGGTGGAAGGCTCAGGCCAGATTGCCGATGTGATCGCCAGCCTGGTGGAGGTGGAGGATGCCCTGACGTTGTCCATCATCAAGGAGAAGCTGGTGCGTTTTCTACCTCGCACGGTGTCTCGGCTGCCTGAGGAGGAGACTGAGAACTGGATCAGATGGGTGAGTCGGTGGGGCCATGTCTGAGGGCTGAGAGGAGAAGCGGGTCTGTGGGAAGGGAGGATGCCTTAAAAACCCAGCCCCGCTGGTAGCTGCACCTGCTGGTATCTGCTCCAAACTAGATGTCTAGCTGGGAATTGAAACTCCTATTAGTTTGTGACCTTCTAAGCATCTTTACCTCCTTGGGGGCCGCCTACAAGGCTTTAAATTCATTCAGGTCTGTTGGACAAGCTTATGAGCCTTCTTTTACACCAGTGTTTTTCAACTTTCTTTTATCTTATGGCACACTTGAACCTATAGTTAAATTTCCACGGAATGCTTAAATTATGTTGAGCAAATAATAATAATAATACACTTACTGTGCTTTGAACTTCTTTTGAAAGTAATTTAATTAATGATCTTTAAAAGTTTTTGTGGCATATCTAAGATCCTGGCATGGCACAGCAGTGTGCCAGGGCACACCGGCTGAAAATCCCTATTTCACACCATGAACTCAATAAAGGTGCTTCTGAGTTTTTCATGTATCAGTTGATGATGGGACGAGACGAAATCCCTGGGAAGGAAGAGATGCAGATGCCAAACCCCGAGTGTATCCACTGGGGAAGCCGACCCTGCAGAATGCTTGCCTTAGCTGGCCTGCCGGGGATACGGGACTTTCAGGTTTTTGGTCTTGGTGATTTGAAGAATAAATCCGCAGACCACAGATCAGTGGCAAGACAGATTTATTTAAAGATAAAGAATAAAAAAACACTCAAGTTTCTAGTAGGGAGAGAATATCCAAGTCAGGAGAGAAAAGCTCTCTCTGTTTCTCTCCAGGTCTCTCTCCGTCTAGTGGTATATACACTGCATGAGTTCCTTCTCCATGAGGCCAGGAAATGAATGGACACAGTCCCTTCCGCAGGGCAAGGTGAATGAATGTACTAATGAATGGACACAGTCCATTCACAGAACTGATGCCTAGGAAACTTACATGAAATTGACGTAGGCATAGGAAATAGGGGTTCATATTTAGTCTTACGTGTAAAGGGGAGGAGAGGTCCCGGCTTGTCGGTTCCCTTTGGCTACTGGAGCCTCCGGTGGGGGAGGGAGGCTCTCCCCCCAGCCTTGCTTACGCTCCAGCCCGCTGGTTCCTCTGCCGGCTGCCACTGCACCAACACCGCTAAGGCAGAGGCTGTGGGTCCAACAGCCCAGCTCAGCTGAGCTGGCTGGGGGCCACCTGTCCTGTATCCCCGGGCTGTACAGAATCTGTCCTCTTTCTCACTAGATCATGTAGCAAATGCAGACTCCCTGGAATGCATATTCCGCTTCTTATTGGCCATTCTGATGGGAAGATTTTGCCCCCCAGTGCTGTGCTCTCTCTCTCTCTCACTTTTGTCTGTTTCGTGACTGCTGTTGACCTGTCTCGACTTTGGTTTTCCCGATGACTGAAGCTCTCGGGGTTATCAGGAGCTACACTCACATCAGCTCCTTCGAAGATGGCCTTTGCTAGTTGGATATTTTAGGAGCAGGTGTTGCCACTTGGAAATTTTTCCATAAAGGAAAGAGGCTGCGGACAACAAGGGTTATTTTAATGGTAGAACCTGTTTCAGCCTGAGAGTCAGATGCTGGGTTTGGTATAAATAAAAAATATATATAAATTCTTTAACCGGACTGGGATTTCAATAATTTCTACTTGTGGAAAGTTTTCAAAGTATCAAATGCAGCAAACCAAAGCCCTGGAATAACAAAGATAAATTCTTCTTGCTTGTGGTAGCCTTTGTCATTATTTAAGGCGATGGTTCTCAACCTTCCTAATGTTGTGATGTATTTGCATTGTTACAAAGGGGTTGTGACCCACAGGTTGAGAAACGCTGATTTAAGGCAAGCCTGAACACACCAAATCCTCGTAAATAATGAGAAAAGTCAGCCCCACCTTGTAGGCTGCCAAGTACCCTCTAGTAAATTACATGAAGGGGGAGCCTAATGGTTTTGTTTAGCTTCTTGTGAGAGGGCAGTCAGCCCACAGTACGGAGGGGGCAGTGTGCTAATCAGAATGATCAGGGAACAAGTCTTTTCTGCATTAAGCCTCCTGGTCTAAAATTCAGGACTTAAACACACATGAACCTTCTTCCCATAACTGAGAGACAGCGTTGGTGTTGAACGATGCCATAGCAATTGTGCATATGATATGTCTAACTGAGATGTTGCATTTTTTCAGATTTTACTACAAGAAGTACAACCAGGAGTTTTTATTCTGAAAGCTCCTGTATATCCACATTAAATGAACTTGTATCTTTTCCTACAATTAGTTTTTAAAAAAAGGTAAAACTCGTGCTTTAATATGAAAGTTCTGACTGGGATTTTCTTTTATCTTCTTTGAGTTCAGTTGAGAGATAGACACAAGAATCAGGCAAATGGAGGTAAAAATATCCACTTTATTGGTGATGAAGGCAAAGTTTAAAGAGGTGGCTTAGAGATGCAGCCACAGTGGGTCTCCTTATGCTGAGTCTCAGAGTGACACAAATGCGCCCACCCAGACACAGGCTGAGCATGTGGTGGCTGCAGACGAGAGCACTAGCCCTCTGCACGGGGTTGAGGGGCCCAGTGAGAGACCCAGGAAGGGCTGGCTGGGCATGGCCGGGGTCACTGCCCACCCTGAGTAGGAGTGTGGCTCAGCAGCTGCTCTGATGAGGCCCCTTCTGCATGGAAATCTGTTGGCAGGGAAAACAAGTCTTTCCTTTCCAAAGTGGTTATACGTTTTTGATTCTTTAAACATTCATACCTAACTGCTCTGAGTCAATTCTATACATACAAATAGGCCAGTCCCAAAGTGCACATATCAGTGTAAGATGTTACCCATTCATTATCACTCTCAAGGTGATTTCCTGTGATGGAAGGAAGAAGTTCAGGGGTCAGTTCAGGAATACCCATAGAGAAAAAGTAGGTAGTTCTTAACTCCCCCACCGATGAAGGCACCGGCCCCTTTCATGTGACTTTCCTCTTTGACTGTTTGGCTTGTGGGTCTGAACCACATACTGTCCAAAAAACAGGCTGCCTGATGGATTCCCACACCCTTGGTGAGAGATTTTGGTTTCTGGTTCAAGAAAACCGTTATAGCCAACTCATCTGTAACAGGCTCAAAGACACAGTCTACCTTGTGTAATTATATTATCCTTTCTGGGACTTGGATCTAATTCATATTCATACCTACTATGCTAATAACATACCATAATTGTAATTATGTCAATCAGAAGACATACATAAATAATAAAAATTAGTCTGTGATTTTAATTATGTACTCATGTGGGATTTTGCAGCTGATACAGATTTCCTGAAAGATTGAGCTTAAGAGTGAAATTATTCATTAATGAATCTATACATTCAGTCAAACACTAATTAAGCAACCTTCCAGAACAATCCCGGATGAAGCCACTGATATGTGGATGAGGACCCCAAAACCTGGACTCCGGGTTTCTTGACTCTCTAAATGCTCCATTGCCCTTCTCCCCCTGGAGAAGATCCCTGGAATCACTCCCTGCTGCCCCACCAGCTCGTAGTTATCCTCAACTTCTCAAGAACTTGACAGTCTATAACCAAGTTCATTTATTCATTCTAACTCACGTATTCAGTAGATATACATTGGGCACATACTGTGTACCAGGTTCTGAAATAATCATACTTCAGAAAGAATCATGTACCCAGCAGAAGGAGTCTGTAGCCCCCAAAAGGGAAAAGAAGTTGGAAAAGGGTTCATGTTGAGTGATTACAACACAGTGCATTGTATAATTTCAAACTGAAATGATGTTTTGAAGAAAAGTAATGTGGACATGGAAGGGCATGTACCTGGTTTGGGGCTTTCTGGAAGGCTTCTCAAAGTGACATGGGAGCTGAGATCTAAAAGGATGGACGGAGTTAATGAGGTGATGGTGGGGACAGCACATGCAAAGGTCCTGAGGTGATGGGCAAGCATGGCACAGCCAAGGAGCTGAAAGACGGCAGTGATGGTGGATATTGCGGGTAAAAGCTTATGAGCTTGTGGGGCCCAAACCAGGTAGTTCCCTGGACATTGTTTCTTCTGGTCCAGGTGTAATGGGACATTGTCGAAAGGTTTGAAGGAGGGAGAAAATACAACCAGGGTTGTGCTCAAGAAAGTTCACACTGGCTCCAGTGGGGAGGAGGCTGAGAGGACACCAGAGTTTGTGGGGAGGAGATGCCAGACAGGAGACCCCTGCAGTGGTCTCTGGGTCCAATCACTTTATGCTGTGTCCATATGCATTTTCTTCCTTTTTATTTCAAAGGAAAATAAAAAGAACCTCTTAGTACTGTCCACTTGTGCCCCATGATCTTGAGACCTGCACCCCTTTCCCTGGCTGGTCATTTCTTATCTTCAGCCTGAACAAGGCTGCAGCCAGGTGGAGAGGGCTTTTCCCTTCATTCTGTCATCTCCGCCCACTCTCACCCTCAGAATCCCCGTGGTTTATGTTTTTCTTCAGTTTTCATTCACTTCCTGTCACCCAGTGGGGTGCAGCATCTTCTGAACCAAGGCCTCCATCACTACCTTTCTAGGAAACTGCAGCCTCACAAGCTTACCTCCTAATTTCCAGACCCGAGGGATGCTGTTCTTCGTCCCCACATTTCCGCCTTCCAGAGGCTGCACCCTGACCCTCCTCTCCCCTCTCCAGCTGAGGCTCCCGGCAGCTCCAGATCCTCACCTCCAAATGCTCCCAGGAAAACCCACTAGTACCTCGACAGGCTAACTGAGGTCAGATCTGCTTCCTCCTCTGGAAGGAAGAAGCCTTCCTCACCAAGCTCCTGCCAGGCTCTCCAATGTTCAAAACCTTGGAATTCTGGGGTGCCTTAATTTTAAAAACATGTTTTAAGATTAAACATTACTGGAAAAATCACAAAGGATAACATAGCAAATTCTTGTTCTTCTTCCAGTTGCCAAGTCCTACCAGTTCTTGTCTGTATTTGAACTTCTCTCTCCTACTGTTTAAGTCTTCTTTTTTTTTTTTTTTTTTGAGACAGAGCCTCAAGCTGTCCCCCTGGGTAGAGTGCCGTGGCATCACAGGTCACAGCAACCTCCTAACTCCTGGGCTCAAGCGAGTCTCCTGCCTCCACCTCCCAAGTAGCTGGGACTACAGGCATCCGCCACAATGCCTGGCTATTTTTTGGTTGCAGCCATCATTGTTTGGCAGGCCCAGGCTGGATTCGAACCCGCCAGCTCAGGTGTATGTGGCTGGCGCCTTAGCCGCTTGAGCCACAGGTGCCGAGCCCTGTTTAAGTCTTTATGACCACACCTGAGCGGGGTCTCTGGTCTTTTGTTGTCCTTTCTTCATTTGTTTTCTCATTCAACACCTGAATCCCCACCATGTGCCAGGCTTTGTGATAGACACATACACACAATGCCCTAGTCAGAGGCTCTTGGCTTTTTGATAGGGGCTAATGTATGAGTTTTGATATGGTTTTGATGTATGTGCTCTTATATAACCAATATTTTATTCTCATTATGACCAAGGATTCCTTATTACAATTGAGAAATTAGAAGTGATGGGAAGAAGGCCTGGAATTCCCCTAGCGGGAGTCTTTTAAAAACAGTGGGATAAAATAGCTCTCACCCAAGGAGTGAAGTTTATGCTCCTCATACCTAAAATCAGTTGGCTGACAACTTGGTTCTTTCAATGTTTCCAGCTCAAGGAAATTCTTGAAAGTTCTCACCTATTAACAGTTATTAAAATGGAAGAAGCTGGGGATGAAATCGTGAGCAATGCTATCTCCTATGCTCTGTACAAAGGTGAGTAAAAATAGCTCTGTTTGAAGTTTCAGGTTCATGGTGCTTTTTGTGGCTTTTCATGACTTGCATTTCTTTCATAAAACAGCTTTATTAGAATAAATGTGTGCATTTAACTTTGATTATCATAGATTGGAAGCTAGAATAACTACTATTCCTGGTGAAGCAAATCTCCTTGGTTGTATTTGATAGAATGACAATGTCCATGTCATTAAAATACTGATCAAACACAATCACAGTACTCTCCAAAGAGCTGTTCCCATCAGTGGTTGAAAATATATTAATATATATATTTTTTGAGACTCAGCCTCCTTTGACAATGTGACAAATCCATGCACTTTTATCCTAGAGTTCCACATATATGTGTGTGCACCCACATGCATATTCATGTCACACACATAAGTCATTTTGCTTTCAATTTCAGGGGTTTACAAATATCTGGAAGCTCAGGAATGAACCTTGCATTAGAAACTTCTCATCTCTGGTCTTTGCTGTCTTAGAATTCCATCAAACTGGATCTTCCCTGTAGTAAATAGGTCCTTGGTGAAGGCATGCCATCTAGAGTTGAACTGCCTGGTTAATAAATGTAAATTACTCAGGCACACAGGAAATGAGGTTTAAACCTTAGTTATTTATTAGAATTATTCTTATTATGCTTGCTAGAAACTTGGTTATAAAGGTATTTACAAAAATGGAATTTTCTCTGTGGAGATAGGTAGATACAGAAAATATTAGCTCTGGGAAAGACAAGAGAAACATCGTAAAAGGGCTCATTGTTCTGCAGATTTAGATAGAGTATAGGTTAGACATGGCCCTCTAAGTGTAACACTCACAGAATCTGAATCTGTGGGGAAATTCCATGACACCGTTGTTACGCTGTAGGATACGCAGTGGAGAGATATTACTGTGCCTGAGTTGATCCTCATTACACACTTTAGAACATACAGAATGTGGGTCGGAATGAACGGAAACAGTGAAATGAAAGAGCTGAGTGTCTGAATCGGAAAGAACTTGTTCAGCATCACCTTGATAAGTGGCTCTGGCGACTTGCCACGTGGGTGGTTCTGACTGATTCCTGGGCCTTTGGCGAGTTGGTTCTTGTCTTGCTCTCTCACAGCTTTCAGCACCAACGAGCAGGATAAGGATAACTGGAACGGGCAGCTGAAGCTTCTGCTGGAGTGGAACCAGCTGGACTTAGCCAATGATGAGATTTTCACCAATGACCGCCGATGGGAGGTAATATGAAGCCCTCCTGGGGCTGGACGATGGCTCGTCCACTTCTGACACGGTCTTCAGTATTGAATCTTGTGAAAGATTATTCTGTTCTAGTACATCAGTGTTGCTGAGTCTTGATTTCCGCACCTATAGTATGGGGTAACAACATTGACTTGGACCAGGGGTCCTCAAACTACGGCCCGCGGGCCACATACAGCCCGCCAAGGACATTTATCCGGCCCACTGGGTGTTTTTGCTGCCGCTGCCTGTCCTGCTTAGCAGCTGACTTGTCCCAGGCCCACAGTCTGGCCCTCCAAGGGTCTGAGGGACAGTGAACTGGTCCCCTGTTTAAAAAGTTTGAGGACCCCTGACTTGGAGGTTTGTTGTGAAGAGATAAAAGTAAGTGGAATATGGTAAGTAAAAGTAAATAATGTAAGGTAATATCAGTTCCCCAGAGCCTTTGACCACTATGTGAAAGGTGATTTCCGATCTGGGTGTGGGGGTGCAGCTCTCCTCCTGGGAGAGCGTGGGCAGAAGTATGTGTATAGGATGATTGGAAGTAGCTTGACTAAAAATCAAGGCGGCAGCACTGCTCTGCTCCCCACCCCACCTGCTAGATGAAAAGTGAATTGTTAGCAGTGAGACACATAAGGAAAAGTGGAACACCTCCATCAGAGACGGTCAGTGAAAGTCCTAGAGCTAGGCGCTTGGGACTCTCTTGGGCAAATGAGCTCCTTCGATATGGAAGCTGCCCACACAACACAAACTGTAGACTTTTCCAACAGTTTGTCTTTTCTCATTTTTCAATTTGATTAGTGTTTTGAGGTCTTATTCCCAACAGTGTCCTCTTGTGTACAATTAAAGTCCAATCAGCCTTGGGAGCCCACTCAATGGAGATAATTATCAACTGTCACCCTGTTCGCAAGGGTGCATCTTTGCTTTTAGCTCTTCCAAATTAATTTCAGTCATTAGTGGGCAGCAAGAAGATATTTAATTTTATACCTGTAGGCATAGATTTGCAAATGTGTGTAATTCCTAACTTTCATCCTTATCTGCCGGGTTCAGGAAACACCTTTGAGCCTATCACTGTACAATCAAAGACTTGATTTATATTAACATGCGATCAGTTTTAATGCTAGCAGTGCAGGTAAACTAATGGCTTATAAATTTAAGTTTTTCTTTCCTTTAGCAAGCATTATCCTTTATTTGATCTCTTCAATATAATGAACCCTATGGCACATTACAAGGTTTTAGTTAGGGACAGTGGAACTGTAAATTGATCTAGGTAATTGATTCATAAACAAATTACATTTTGTGTGAAATGTTCTATTCAAGTAAAGTCACATGGAACAAATAAACATAAACTCAGGCACATATCAAAGGGAGCATTTAATTCTATTAGCTTAGCTAAAGATTGTTAAAGGTGAAGGGAATAATAGTTAAGGGTTTGGACTGTGCTGCCAGCCCATCCACATGACTTTGGGCAAATAACCTCTCTAGGCCTCAGTGTCTTCCTATGGTGATATATTGGGGGCAGCTGGTACTGGCTTGTAAGAACCAACTGCTAAATTTTTAGGGATTTTGTGAGTTGGTTGTTAAATATAGTCATTATTAAAACTTAAATTGTGCCAACATAGAATTATACAGATATTATGAAAACAAAGGTAATAATCAACACTCATCATTCTCTAATTCTTTGACTATGTTTACTATTTATTATCTGTGTTCTGAATGTTGGCAATGTATCTGTATGCTAGATTCTAACTATGCCACCTTGGTAGCTGAGAATTGGCCACGGTGGGAGTATTTACACCATGGGAATTGGCACACACTACAAATCAGTGCCTGTATTTTCTTTCAGAGAGCTGGTGGTTAAACATTTACCAGCACATCACTGCTCATCTGAAAATGGAGATGACAATAATAGCAGTACCCACCTCATTGAGTGGCTAGGGTGATTAAATCAGACAATATTTCTGAAGGGCTTAGATCACTGACACACTTCAAACACCATTTGTTTAAATGTTAAAATCTTTGGAATAATGATAATGTCTGTGTAGCTTTTTGTAGTGCATGAATCAGTTCTGTTGTGTTAGTGTGCTTGCCCCTCATACCAATCCACAGGAGGATTCCCTCATTTTGCTGGCTATTAAACCAGGGTTCTGTGGGTGTCATAGCAGAGGGGTTACTGATTTTTTTGAGGACCTGCTCTGAACTCAAATCTCTGAAAAGACCTTGGTATGTGTTAGCTCATTTCATCCTCACAACCTCTGGTTTCATAGAACAGAGAACTGAGGCTCAGAGACACAGTCTTTTGGGTCACATGGCCAGATAATGGTAGAGTCAAGGTTTGAAAAGAGAGATGTATCTGACCTCAAGCCTTTTCTCTTTCCCATTTGCTAGTGGTCCTCAAGGGGTGGTCCCTGGACTGGGGGAAGCTGGGCATAACCTGGGACTTATCACCATGCAAATCCTCAGACTCCTTTAGCCTTGGACCCTCTAGATCAGACATCCAAGGCTGACTCTTGGCAGTGTATGTTTTAACAAGCCCTGAGGGGCCTCTGATTAAAGGCTGAGAACCACTGCCCTGTGCTAGCAAGTGTGTGCCTGATGGAAAGGCAAATGGATTTACTAACAGAAAGAAATAGGAGATGCTGGCCACAGGGGACACTTGCTTTGAGGACAAGGGAGAAAGCACAGTTGTCACCTTCCCAGGGGTGGCCACTCCCACCACTAAGCCTAGCTGCATACACAGTGAGGACTCATGGGACCCTGACAGGTCACCCTGTAGATGATGTGTGAGCCCCATGAGACCAACATTAGACAAAATGAAACCATTTATGTGGCCCATGGCAGAGGACACTCGCCTAGAGCAGGATTCAGGCAAGCCCTGCAAGTGAGTGAAGGGGGCTGCTGGCCACCAATGGGTGTGGGACAGTGGGACCAAGAGCCCAGGCTCCTGAGGCAGCTGCCTCTTGGCTCCAGCCAACAGGTCCTGTGTTGCCAGAGCTGCTGGTTTTTACTCTTAATCTGGATTTCAATGCTGGGAATATAGGTTTTAATGAATCTTCTAGTTTTTGAAAGTTGTTAAATAGAACTCCACTGTAAGAAGTACTGCGGAGGACACTGACCCACATCTGAGAGCTGCCCTGGCCACAGCCCTCCGGGCTGTGTCTGCAGTGAGCACTGCTTATCTTTCTTGAGATTCTCAGTGAGTTTCCATGGGTTAAGTTTTATTGGAAGTATGGAAAGTACAGTTAAGATAGATAACTGACTATCAAATCTAATTGTCAAGTGTCCTGGTGACTCACTGGGATGTAACGTGACTGGGCATTTGCTTGGTGGCATGTGACTTGCCCATGGCTTGATGGATCCCATCTTGACCCCTGCATTTGGGAACATGGTCAGCATAACGGAAGGTGCACAGGCATCTGTGAAGGGCAGCAGACCCCATGGCACAGAGTACAGGGTCCACACTGGTGGTCAGCTCATGGTGGGTGTCTAGTGTAGACTGCAGAGAGATTCCTTCAGGTGGTCTGTGACCCCTACCCCTGATTGAGTGTTTCCTCTATGTCAGATACCAGGGTAAATTTTGGGGGCAATGTCGTCTCTATATTGGGTATTTTTATCTCCCCTTTGAAGTAGCAAGAGGCAGGTCACATCCAAGTTCACATCTAACCAATTACAAAGATTCCACCACACCATTCCCCCTGTTTGGATGTTCAAATTATAATCTGATGCCATGTTGAAACTGAAAAGATAAATTTTCCTCTCAAGACAGGATTGAAAGAGAAGTTGAAAATACTGTTACTCTGTGGCTGAGAAAGAAAAATGCCTTCTGTGTTCTTCCTGTTACTGTCCCAGCCTTGTTAGTGCCGCTCTGCTCTTTCCCTTTAGTCTGCAGACCTTCAGGAGGTCATGTTCACAGCTCTCATAAAGGACAGACCCAAGTTTGTCCGCCTCTTTCTGGAGAATGGCTTGAACCTGCGCAAGTTCCTCACCCACGACGTGCTCACCGAGCTCTTCTCCAGCCACTTCAGCACCCTTGTGTACCGGAACCTGCAGATTGCCAAGAATTCCTACAACGACGCCCTCCTCACCTTTGTCTGGAAACTGGTCGCAAACTTCCGGAGAGGCTTCCGGAAGGAAGACAGAAATAGCAGGGATGATTTGGACGTAGAATTCCACGTATGTACTGGGAGAATGCTCTGATATTTTGAGTCTTCCTTCAAAAAATATCTCTACCTCTGTCTTTCCCACCCCCTGCCATGAGGTAGTTAACACATGACGTTGCCTTTACTTAAACTGAGGCTCTACCTGGCAAGGCTTCTAATAATCTTGCATTACACTGCATGCTATGTTTAAACTGGTTGTAGTTTTCATAATTGCACAGCTGGGTGTGGTATACATTCTGGAGACATCTAACAGGGAACAGGGACAAACAAGTGGTCCCCTGCTCAAATCTTAGGCCAGTGGTCCCCTGCCCATGTCTTAGCCCAGTGGTCCCCTGTCCATGTCTTAGCCCAGTGGTCCCCTGCCCACGTCTTAGCCCAGTGGTCCCCTGCCCATGTCTTGGCCCAGTGGTCCCCTGCCCATGTCTTAGCCCAGTGGTCCCCTGCCCATGTCTTGGCCCAGTGGTCCCCTGCTCGTGTCTTAGCCCAGTGGTCCCCTGCCCATGCCTTAGCCCAGTGGTCCCCCACCTTTTAGATACCAAGGACCAGTTTTACAAAAGATAGTTTTTCTATAGACCTGTTGGGAGGATAGTTTAGGGATGACTCCAGCACATTACAGCTCCATCTCTGATCATCAGGCATTAGATTCTCATAAAGAGGTGCTGTCTAGATCCTTCCCATGTGGTTTATAGCAGGGTCCATGCTCCCATGAGAATCTAATGCTGTTGCTGATCTGATAGGAGGCGGAGCTCAGGCGGTGATGAGAGGGATGGAGAGCGGCTGTTAATACAGATGAAGCCTCACTCACTTGCCCTCTGCTCACCTCCTGCTGTGCAGCCTGGTTCTTAACAGGCCATGGACTGGTACTGCTCCTTGTCCTGTGGGTTGGGGACCCAAGTCTTAGCCCACTGGATGTGATTTCCTTAAAATAGCTCCTTGCTCTACAAGCATATTAAGGGCTAAAGAACAGGCAGGTGTTTTTTTGGGAATAAAAGGGGCTGTGAATATGCTGCATTCATGACAGGAAGCTGTGTAGGCACCACCTTACTCCCGGGCCTCTTGCTTTAAGTCAGGGCAGCCCTGTTTCCAGTTGCCAACCCCTGTGACTATCAGAGATTGGTGCCCACGTACCTGAGCCCCCTCCAGGTGGAGCGGAGGGGCCGACTGGAGGCCTGTGCTGCACTGGCTCTGGGAGTTGCCTGGGGGCTCATCTCTAGTTACCCAGTGAGATAGCTTAGGTGATAATGCATCTTTTCTTGGTTTCTTTTATTTTTTTTAAATATAGTTAATTTTCTCGTTTGTTTTTTTTTTATTGCAAGGGTACATGTCAAATATATTGATAGTAGAGTATAAATGTCTAAACACAACACTTAAATAAGTGAGGTTTCTTTCCTTTCTGATAGCATTTCTTCACTCCTCTATTGATTTTCATTGAATTGAATAAGCTGCTTACCTCCAATTCTTATCTCAGGATTGCTTCTGGCAGAACCCAGACGAGATCATTATCTTTTGTAATGATTCTGTGCATGTGTGTGTGTGCACGCACAAGCTCACACGCAGGTATATGTTGCAAAAATGTAAGTGAGCTGAGTGTTTGCAGGAATTGGAAGCATTTAGAGAGCTTCTGTTCCACTCTATTTATGTTAAATCCCTTTGCAATATGCATAACTGTACCTCGTGCATTTTACGTACTGGTACAACTTGTAAGAATTTTCTATCTGGAAAGCTTCCGCTGGAAGGTACACCAGGCTGAATAGGAGCTGGGGTTCTAACTGATGTATTAGGAATCAAATCTTTAACAGTCCAAAGAAATAGGTCTAGTTTTAAGTTGGGATAAAATTGAACTTAAACTGTAGGAAAGTTGGGATTTAGTTTGAAAGATTCTTTTCTAGAAGAGAAACAGATTTATAGGATGAGAAGGAATTGTTTTCTCTTTGGGCTGTCATTCAGTTTTTAAATTACTCTCAGCACATTTTATTTCAACCTTTATACTTCTCTATCTATGTTGTACTTTGCCTTTTATAATAGATAAAAGATTTTGTGTCAAATTAGACCACCCAGTGAGGTGCAGAGATGAAAATCTCATCACTGGTCCCTATGCTGTTAAAATGGACTCATACACAAAGCTGCAGATCCTCCCAATGTGGGGCTCCATCCCAGGGCTTTCTGTTCCCACTTTTATTGTGACAGAGGGGCCCCTGAAATGATTTCCCTTTGCACATGCTGACTGTATGCTTCCCCCCTCCAGGATGTGTCTCCTATTACCCGGCACCCCCTGCAAGCACTGTTCATCTGGGCCATTCTTCAGAACAAGAAGGAACTCTCCAAAGTCATATGGGAACAGGTAGGTGTCTAAGCCCACACCAGATCTATGCCAAATGTGTGCATTGTTATAGCAGGTCTGATCTTCTCAAAACTCATGTGCCTAATTGAAATCATCACTAACAAGGACATCTGATGTCCATGAACATGGTTGTACCTCTGTTAATGTGTTTGGGGAGTGGTTCCTGCAAGTCAATTGTTCTTGGTGGGCAACCTGGTAGGCATCTGCTTCTGTGGGGTGTGTGTATGGGTGAGGGTGTGACTGTTTCTGGGTGGATAAAGTTTTTAAATTTAATTTTAAAAGTTAATTTCTAGGGTTGGGCGTGGTGGCTCATGTCTGTAATCCTAGCACTCTGGATTGTCTGAGCTCACAGGTTCGAGACCAACCTGAGCTAGAGTGAGACCCCCATCTCTAAAAATAACCAGGCATTGTGGCAGGTGCCTGTAGTCCCAGCTACTTGGGAGGCTGAGGCAAGGAAGTCACTTGAGCCCGAGAGTTTGAGGTTCCTGTGAGCTGTGATGCCATTTTCTCATTACGGACAGGAAGCAGGACCTGTGAAAAATTCTGCTTTGGAAAATATTTTGAGAATTTTCTTTTTTATTTAGCATGGAATAATTTTTGTAAACGATATATGGATATGTGCACTCCATTCTCAATTTTTAGAGAATGAAATTGGATATGGAATTCAGGCAGCCTTTCTGGGAATGTTGTCTGGGTCTTCTGTGTTCTTATCCTCCCCCCCACCAACTCTTGGAGATGTGTCAGTATGAGAGAGGGTTAGTCAGACCTCCTACCATCATTGTCTTCTGTCATTTTCTCATGACTTTATCTTGATATGATATTTTGTATGCTGATTCCAAGTTCAAGACCTCAAGCACATCCAGGCTCAGGGTTATTTTGTGCTCATTACAAATTTTACTTTGCATCATTAGGAACAGTTTAGATTCTACCATTGCCTCCTCTGCCATGAGTTCCTCCTCTGAGGAGTGTTGACTTGAAGGCGTTATGAATTAACTGTAAAATTCTCCACCCCCCCCCCCCATGAAAAGACCAGGGGCTGTACTCTGGCAGCCTTGGGGGCCAGCAAGCTCCTGAAGACTCTGGCCAAAGTGAAGAATGATATCAATGCTGCTGGGGAGTCTGAGGAGCTGGCGAATGAGTATGAGACCCGTGCCGTCGGTGAGTCCCCAGTGACAGGACACCACAGTGGGGGCAGGTCTGTCGTGTGTGACACTCGAGTCCCCAGTGACAGGACACCACAGTGGGGGCAGTTTGCCACATGTGACACTTGAGTCCATGGTGACAGGACACCACAGTGGGGGCAGGTCTGCATGTGTGACACTTGAGTCTCCAGTGACAGGACACCACAGTGGGGGCAGGTCTGCCGTGTGTGACACTCGAGTCCCCGGTGACAGGACACCACAGTGGAGGCAGGTCTGCCACATGTGACACTTGAGTCTCTGGTGACAGGACACCACAGTGGGGGCAGGTCTGCCGTGTGTGACACTCGAGTCCTTGGTGATAGGACACCACAGTGGGGGAAGGTCTGCCACGTGTGACACTCAAGTCCCTAGTGATAGGACACCACAGTGGGGGCAGGTCTGCCATGTGTGACACTCGCGGGCCAGGTGGCTGAGGTTAGCGGCATGTCGGAGCTCTCCCTGCCAGCCTTACTGAGGGCTGCAGGCCCCAAGATCTGGGTACACAGAAGCCACAGCCTCCAGGCCCTGGCCCCTGTGGATGTTTCTAAGAGTGAACATGCTTGGGTGTGCAGGGTTTTTTTGTTTCTTTGGATTTTAGACTTGTGTTTTGCTGTTACAACACTGTGACAGGTCTGAGATTTACCCTGACTTTTGAACTAACAAGTTAGCCTGTCAGTTTCATATACAGAAATATTCTGCCAAAGACTCCAGCCCTCTGGGTCTGCGACACGTGTGGTTAGCACTGACGGCAGAGGCAGCGGCCCGAGCAGCATCGTGGGCTGCTTCCCCAGCCCCAAATCCCCACAGGTGACTCCAGTAATGGCCGGTGCTGCCAGTTGTGTGCTTCCTGGAAGTCAGGAGACTCTGAGCTTTCTGTGGGGGCTGCGGTGAGATTGCTCATTACCTGGCGTGGAGGAGGGGACGGGCGTCCTGAGCGTTGCAGGACCTGTGACCTCTGTGTGCTGTTTAGTCCGTGAACAAAGCTTGTCAGTGCCTCTGTGCAGAGGCCAGGTCATTCAGCCTGTGATGAATCAGGAAGTCGCCTCCAACCAGCAGAGAGGTGTTGGCCTCCTCCGTTTTCTGTTTTCACCTGGTGGGTTTTAGTTTGTGATGTGCTGTGTGCCTCTGTGCTTGGCTCTCGTCTTCTTTAATGTAAAAGGTTTTCTAGCTTCTCTGTGTTAGGAAAAAGATGTCTAATTATTTCTTTTAATGTACTAAAATTTTAAGGATATTATGGTCACTTCCAGATGACCTCAATTAGGCAATGGTTCCTAATATCTTGACTTTTAAAAAAGTTTCCTCTGACAATCTACACTCCAATTTCTTTGTCATTAGGCAATGGAATACAGGAGACCCTCCACAGCTGGCCACCTCCCTAGGCCACACCCTCAGAGCTCCTGGTGGAGCCTCCACAGCTGGCCACCTCCCTAGGCCACACCCTCAGAGCTCCTGGTGGAGCCTCCACAGCTGGCCACCTC